TCATGCATTTTAACTGCATTATTTAAAAACTGTAAAAGTTTGTTGCAATTCTTCCCCCTAACATTCATAACTTGAATAAAAATATTAAGAATACGAATGACAGGTGTTAATTTGAATGATAAAAATTACGCTTCGACAAGTGAATATTAATTTGAATGCTAGTTGAGCAGTTTTTAAATTGAATGACAGATCTATGAAACCCTTCGACCAAAATCCTAAATTAAATACAAAAACTGGAAAATTGAATGATAATTGGCATGGCAAAGCCGATCTGCGCTAACTTAAATGCAAAGTAAATGAATTCGAATGACAAACACGCGAATTTGGCCGGGAAATCCTAATAGCTATAACAATGTACATCAAAACCGGAGTGTCAGGTATGTGACATTCTATTTTTTTTCTTCTGATGATGAAAAGTCATCACGGAAAGGGCAGAATACGGAGAGACAAATAACATCCATGCATTTAACTTGCTTACTTTTACTGTAACTAAATCGTTTTGTTTTTTTTTATTAAAGAAGAAGAACAAATATTCAAGTTACGCTACTTTCATCATCTGACATACCTCGTCAGATGCTGACAACTATACTTTCATCACCACACACATCTTTCATCGCCTTTCCAATTATAGAAGAACTGAATCAACATCTCATAAAGTGTACCATATAAAATTCGGTATATGTTGATCTGATTCCAACCATCGTAACCATTTTTAACTGTTCATGAGAGATAGCAGATGTTATTCATCACGTTTTACCAATCAACGCCCTGATTGGCTTGTATGATGAGGATCCCAAGTTCTGATTACTGAAAATCTTCGTCTTGCAAAAGCAATCCTGGGACCCGTTTCACAAAACCTTTTTCAAAGATAAATGACATAAATCGGGGACAAATCTGCTGATAACCAATCAGAAGCAAGGATTTCACTAGCTTATAACAAAAACTGTCATTTGTCACTGATGACAAGCTTTGTGAAATGGGGCTCAGCGCCCAGGGCACCTTGCTTGCAGGTCTTCGATCCAGTAATTTCGCACCTGATGTTTCGCCAACAAGGTCGAGTACTGGTTTTTCATTTACAACTTTCACTTTCTTCATCTGCCTTATACGCTTCTTATCATCATTTCATTGTAGGCTAACATTTTCTTACATAGTTTAATTATGTTAAGCTTCGTTGTACATATCCTAGAACAGTGTACATGTACATTTATCTGGGTTTATAGCTTTCTGTTATGGGTCATTATCCTTAATAAACTACGAACATCCAATGGGGGATATTTGCCTGAATTGCCAATATTTTAGTTATCATCGACCAATATTTGTAATATAATGTCATTGTGCATTTGGATGTAATGGCGTGTGTTCAACCAAAATTAGAGGGATCTTCATCTCCTCATAGGAATGCCCGCTGTGTACACATCGATAAACAAGAAATTGAAGGGGTTTGTAGTGGTAGAATGAACTCCACAACGGAAATAAGTCTTGACCTTCACTTGAAACTCATTTCATACCTATAAGTACCAACTAAAAGTTATATTTACACATACGATGTAGATCGTCGAAGAGGAATATTTTTGTCGACTCGTCTATCCCGCGTTTTGGTGTGCGAGTAGTTTACGACCAATATGTTCAACCAGTGTTCATAACATGTATTGGTTTTATTGCACGTAATGCCAAGTCCCTTTCTTATGAACACACATTCACGAAACAATTATAATACACTGTTGATCAAAAAGTTGATTTTGTAAAAAGAGGTAACAAAGCTGTTGTTACCTCTTTTTATGAAGGACTGTGACATTATGGTTTACTTTATTGATCAGAATTCTTTATTGATTAAAGCTCTGAGCCTCTTTCAATAATTATATGTAACTTTATCTATCAAGACTTCAATACGTTGTCACAACTATTTCAGAGAAAGAGGTAAGATAGAAACATTCCAACTTCATGGGCAAGAGTGTATTAAAACTAGGAAATTATTAAGCAGGGTAATCAAACATTGCGTTATTTATGACTCGCAATCATTGATTCGTATACGGTTCGAGATACCAAAAGTTCCATATCCATTATTCTGTTAACAAATATAATCAATATTTATGTTTTAGTCCGGGAACTTTGATTCTTGTAAACAATAGCTTCAAATCTTGCTGAATGTCATATCGCAGTAATGAGAGACATAACATACAGTCACGATATCATTGGATATAGTCCGTATTCGAAATTAAAAACAATCTACACACAATCCATTGTTCCTATGAGTCCATGACGTTATTCGAAATGACAACTTGAAAATGAGATAGCCCACATACTATTTAGTTCGCTTAGCTCTACCAGTTCCCAACCTTCAATGTGACAGCTAATTGATACTCAACTACATCAATTGGCATTCACGATCTTCACAACAACGAGATGACATGACAGTAACTTAAACTACACACATGACGTCAGGGATAGGTCGAGATCGGGAGCTGCGTTTGATCCCACATCACCGGGAGATTAATTGTCTTGGGATGGGATTGCAGTAGTATACCCGTAAAAAGATCTGGGGGGTGTTTCACAAAGATCCTAAGTTGAACTTATCCCTAAGTTGGACTTAACAATTATGGAAAGCCATTAGCATCCTTGAAAATATTTTGTTAGAGGTATTTTAAAAGGTATAAAATGTTGATTTAAATCATTCATATTTGTTATTATCATGGGAGATTTCATGTTCTTGATGTGGAATTTATGAAAAGTCTAAAATACTTGAATTTTTGCTTTTGAATATATCTCATTATAAGGCTACAAATGGCTCTCCATAACATTTAAGTCCAACTTAGAGTTAAGTTTGACTCAGAATCTTTGTGAAATACCCCCCAGAGGTATTTTCGAGAGCAAACCTTCCAACATGACCAATACAACGTTAAGCTGGAATACTAACTGTGAAAATGAACTAGCTGGTTGCAACAACAAAAAGACAATGATTTTCCTGAAAATAGAAGAAGAAAAAAAAACCTCTTCGAAACATATATTTCTTATTTTGTACGTTTGAGATCCTAGTTGACCACCTCTTTTGCACCTGTTATTTGTATAGCCACGCATTTACAGTTATTAGTTTTGATCTCTTATGTGTAACCCGACTGGGTCTTCAGGATCCCAATGGGATGTCTTCCAAACCAATTAAATAGCAATTACTGTAACCATGCGCTTTATTATTTTCACTGGTTTATAACAATTTATGATTGAATATATATCTAAAAGACAAAATTCATAATGATTATCCACTGCTACATGAGTAATGGAATTTGCACTCCAGCTCATCGAAGACAGAAACCGAATCACCATCACCGTTGTCGTCGACCGCTTCGTATCTTTTAATTGACACTCGTTGGACCATGTTCCTTTATTTTGTTAGTAGAGTCTTACTTCAAAAAGTGGAATATTTTTTTTTCTTTCTATAACGATCCGATATTTCTACACACTATATCAATTGATGAAATCATTTATGAATGCATTTCATTGAATGTTTTCACGTAGATTTTAATTCTGTTTAGAAATTAGCGCAATTCGTAAGCAACAACACAACAAAAGAGAAGGAAACATAACGGTTGCTAAATCTGATCTTCCTATTATGATGGAGGTACGATGGAAACGCGTTTAGGCGTTTTCAATATCCTGTACTCTGTACTTTCAATGGCATTGGAATGTACTTAAGTGATTGTGGGTACAAACAAATCAAAGCGCTTTTTTGGAAGTTAGTGAAAAGACTATAAATAAAGATAAATCACACGCTTTAATGTTACTTTAACATTGAGTATTAAGCCCAAACACCATCATGTGATATTGAAATGCTTATAGAAAAGGCGCAATCAACCGATGTTGGTTAAGTAAATGTAAAACTTGTTTTGAGTCATGCATTTTTTAAAGACACTTTCACATTGCCTTTAGCGACAAACGTCTTATGCTTAGGTTTTGTGTTGCAATCAAACCCTCCTTACCCCCAGTCACTAGTGATTTTTGCCTCCAAACACTATTAGCTTTCAACGGACTTGATTGTTCCGACCTACTTATTTAAAGGGTGGGATTCCTATTTCAGACTGCAAAAAAATGGTATTCAACCCCGCTGATGAACTTAGTACCGGGATCAGGTGCGACATACGTATATGTCGTAAATACCAATTCAGTGTGACTCCAAGTGAAAATTGTCGCTAATTCAAGTTTTTTTTTCTCGCAATGTTATGTCTCCAATTAGCTGCGAGCCGTCGCAGCCCAGTGAGATACCAACTCTTGATGGATTTAAGGATTGATGTATGGAGAAGATTGAGGATTTGGAATGACGAAAATGTAAATAAATGAGCTCAATCATGCTTAAAAAGCACTGCACGTAGAAATTGGTTACATGGATATGAGACTACAACCACACACGGCATGAAAGCTTCGTCCAAACTTCTATCATAAAGCGATTATGAAGGCATTTTAGTGCAATGCTTCCAAGTGACCTTTCTACCCTGATATTCTTCTGAATTCACAGACAGAGAAAGAGAGTGAGAAAGCTCGAATACCGTCTACTTGGACCCACAGAGTCATTAGAGACTTTTAGATTTGCATGGACTGATACATGTGACGTCCATTCAAGGCAGTGTATTAAAAGGACGTCGATCGTAGCAATCCACGTTGTCGTTCGGCAGATCTAAAAGTCTCTATTGTATAGGAATGGACAGGCAGTGTTTATTTTCATTTACGACGTTAACAGAACTCAACGTTCTCTTTAACAAACGCGTTGATAATGTCAAACTACGAATCGCATTCTCATCCTTGAGATAATTAAGCAAACATACCTTCATGATCGGTGCACATGACTGCTAGCTAATTAAAAATCCATTGATGCTACCCATTTACACCTGTTTAATGGATGGTGAACGATGTCACATGATCAGATGTGTCAGTTGCAGGTAAACACAACTGTTCATGATGCTTGGTTGTATCTTTGACGTCTTCGCTTGTAAGACCAACAGTGTTCAGGCACAATGTCAGTTTCGAGAACGCACAATGTCAGTTTCGAGAACACTCAAACAAGTTGTCAGACGGCTCCCGAGACCGACATGTATGTAAGAAGGTTAGCTAGACCGGCCTCCGAGGCCGTAGCCAACAAGTCAGTACATTAAAATGTTTCAGATTTTTATCAAAATATCAAAAGTTGGTTAATAGAATCCTTATCAAATCCAAATCAAATTCAATCAAATTAAATCAAACCGTTTGATATGTGAGAAAAATATTTGCTACAACTTACCAAAGACGCCTTTTTGCGATATTGGTACACCCTCATTCCCACCATATTCATGATATCTGCTGGAAACGCGACTGGACTCACATGATCTCTTCTTTCATATCTTTCTATTTGCCATCAATTTTTGATATGATATTACGAATTGATATAATATTATATCGATGTTGATTCTTGTTATTCAAGGATGTATTTCTTAATTGCGCTGAGCGCTACGGTTGCTAAAGCAGGGGTAAAGTAATTTGGGAGCGCCTCGAGACTTCATATCATAATGTGATTCTTCTTCTTCTTCTCTTTCTTCTCGTGTTCGTTCTCTTTCTTGTACTTATTTTTGTCTTTTTTGTCTTGTTTTTCCTTGTTCTTGTTTTTGTTCTTCGTGTCATTATTATTTATCTTTGGGTATCTCTGATCGTTACAGATATCTTAGCATCCGACTTCGAAGCCAAACTACACGATACTCTTTTCAAGGACTACTACATCCTGCCTTTGCCTGTCGTCAATACTACAGATATACTCAACGTTTCCTTCGGCCTCTCCATTTCACAGATCATTGATCTTGTAAGTATGTGGCTAAAACGTGCTCTTAATGATCTGAGATGTTTATTCGAAACTAAAACCTGAGTTATATCATTCAGTGAGTCTAGAAGTGCTTTTTTGTAGGCTTGACCGTTTACCAATTAAGAACAGGCAATTCAAAAGGCTTCTTAATTTAAACTATTTTTACTTGCAGGTTCACACTTTTTAATTCAAAGTAGTTCCAGATACAAAGCAGATATAAGGACAGAGACTAAGTCGTAAATTATGTAAATTAAGAAAATTAAAATAAAATTGAAGTGATTTTTGACTATTCAATATCGATGCAAGAGGTATGGGGACAGATCGTGCTTAATTGTTAAATATTTGAGCACATGGTTCCGATATGAATATTTATATTTCACTCTGAATCACATTAATGAACAGAACCATGGAGTAAGGACGCTTGCACCTAAATGGTATAGATGCGACGCGCGATATGACGATATTTCAAGAAAGTTGAACAGGTGGGCAGTTAAACGGATGCTCTTTAGCTTTTAACATAGCTATGTCATCTTTAAACAAGTTATGTCACAGTGTTATTTATTCTGTCTATTTCATTATTCAATTCCAATCTTCCTTCTAAACTGAAATCCCATTATAGCTTAACTCACCATTCCGTGGTCCGCGGGTTGACAGTTTCTAGAGTGGTAGAGATTTAACATTGCAAACATTCTGCGACGAACATTGGTGAGGTGCTGTTTTCCTCACCAATTACGCCCAAAACCCTGCGTGTCACAGCACTGGTATCCGATGCTTGTAACGTAAATAAGATCATAATTCAATTATTACATGAGGCATCATCGAGCTGACTCTTTGAATTTCATCCGGGTTTAACATAAGACGTTAGGAAGTGTTGACGTTATCAGAAAAAGAATACTGATATCAGACAGCAACTTCATTTGGGCTCTGTCAGATAAAGTAGTGAAAAAATAATAATGCCTGTATACACACTGTCGCCCATAACATTTGGTAAAACATTCTTACCTCTTTTCATGAAACGATTGTGACAATTAGTTTATTTTTTATATATGAAGTTTATATCCTCTCATAAATGTATGGACCAACCGGAAGAGTCATAAAGATTGATAAATAAAGTACTGAGAAGCTACATTATCTGTCAAGATTAAAACATATTGTCACAATCGCTTTGTGAAAAGAGGTAAGATTTTGTTTTCCAACTTTGTGGGCGACAGTGCATGTGTGTTAATATAGACTTTAGCTTATACCGAGGCGTTTAAGTAAATTGCATTTGATTCTAGCAAGAATGTGTAATGCAAAATATTAATGTATGCTACGAAGATATAGAGTTCTAAAAATTCAAGAATGAGACTAAAATTTCGAGAAGTAACTCTATATCTAACGTAGATCATCTATGTGTGAAACATATTGGAGGTGCGATAGCTAAGTTGGTAGAGCAGTGGTCTCGTAATCCGGCGACCGGGTTCGAAACCAAGTTGATGCGCTAGTGTCCTTTGGTAAGGCATTAATTCTCATTACCAGGTCCCTCAGAAAGGACTTAAAGCCGTCGGTCCTCTGGTTACTTACTAACAAACATTTATGCTTTCTTAGCAGTCAGGTAAAACAAAATTACCACTACTACTGAAAAAGTTGACATAGTTGACACAGTGTCTACGGAAAAGGGCTGGGATATACGGTAAAATATTATCTTTTTGAAAAGTTTCAATCAACTTTTTAAAATATATCCTTTTAATGCTACTCATCATAAACATAAGTTTCTGATACACTTTCCATTCGATTACATACAAGATATCTGGCTATTCGTTGCCAATTTGGAAGTTACAATTGAATGCGACCTTGAGGCTAATACTAGCCTACTTTCCTAGGTTCGCAACACTGATGTTTCTATAGATAGGCGGGGAGGAGAAGATTCTCCTCGGAGACATCGCACCACAGTAAGGTGCTAGTAATGAGATAAGCAGCGGTCATTACTAGCAGCGCACGTGGACGCAGCATGTATCTATAGGCACCGCTCTTACACCATTACGGGTAGGTCAAGGGGTACACGACGCGGCACAGTGTTCCTGGCTTTACATTCGTGCTGCAGTTGTTGTTGTTCGTTTGGTATTATAATGGCTATTAGTCAAATTTGACTATTGTTGCCAATTTCATCGCATCTCTTTCTTTTAATGTCTTGGTAAAATTATTATTTCTTTCTTTCTTTTTCCAATCTCATTTTAATATAATATTAGTCATAATCTACAAAAAAATAAAAACAAAAAATTATTTCAAATTAAAGCACGATCCGCACACAGTTCCAACTCACGCTGGCCCTGTCCTTTCTATGATGCCTTCTTACCAGCCCAGCGAGTTATGTTACGCCGTACGCTTCTCGGTTGATAAACTCAACCTAGGTCACTCTGGCATAGACAAGGGGGCGTCGTGTACCTGTATGTTTAGAGGGTTTATTTATTTATTAGGAGAAAGACAACTGCATAAGCAAAACACTTGTGGGCTTTATTAGTTTATATGAGTTAGTTCATGAGATTATTTATATAGCGCATGACTTTTAACTACTATAATCATTGGGGGGTGACATGCTTTCGAGTAATGATATAGCAAGTTTTAATTGCTTTTTTTTCCCCAGCAGATTTCATGTATCCTTCTCTCTCTCTCTCCTCTCCACTTCCCTAAAGTTGTGTGTATGTATTAAGATATGTTTTTCGATTGGTCAAATAAATAATGTTAAATTGTTTCAATCATTATTTTTTTTTAAATTAAAAGAGGCCTAAATAAGATATATAGGTCTATACGATCAAAACTTCAAATAAGACACTAATACAGGTGTAGGCGTAAGGTTATACACAAAATACCTATTTTCTCTTCTATTCAGCTCAAATTGATTGCGGTTTCTGTTTTTCATCTCTTTTTGATTTTACTTTTTACATAATCGCTTCGTTCTAAAAACGAAGCGAGAAATTGCCATTTGTACATGAGAGTCACTGTTTCGTAAACATATCATAATGTCCTCTTCCTTGGAAATATTAACTTCTGACATTAACATGGCCCTTTCTATTATATACTTTGGACATTCTATCAAAAAATGTCTGACCGTTTCTAATGTTGGGCAGCTGTCACAAAAACCTGTGGAGTGGATGCCCAAACGCAAGAGGTCTTGGTTGAGTCCAGACACTCCCAGGCGTAGTCGCCTAAGAATAGTTTCAGTTTTTCTTCCCAATTTACAAGAATATTGTGAGATAACATTTGGCTGAAGGATTTTAAATGCCGATTGGGTATCATTCCACCTTTCTTGCCAAAGTAACTTTGAACTGTACAAAATTAAACTTGTCTTTTCAAATAAAGTCAATTTATTATGCATTTCAATTTCCTGAGTTAGAGCTTTTTTTGCGTAGAAGTCTGCCTTTTCATTTCCCACTATCCCACAGTGGCCTGGAATCCATTCCAAAGCGATTTCGATCCCTCTATATTTCAATCGGGTCGTTATTATAAATATTTCTGTGACAAAGGATTCGTCACTAAAATGTTTCAAGGCTGTGAGGGCACTTAAGCAGTCGCTAAAAATGACTGCACCTGTATAGATGTTTGTTTCTTCGATCCATTAAAGGGCAAGAACAATTGCAGCCAACTCGGCTCTATACGATGAGGTAAAATTCGCTAATCTTTTACATTGGTGTACAGAAAAGTGTGGGATATAGAAAGCAGCCGAGCATTGGCCCTTCTCCGGAAACTTAGATCCATCTGTATATATATGCAACTGGTTCGACCATTTTGTATTAATCAATTTTAAGCTTTGTTGCTGTAATAGGGTATGGTATCTTCAGTAATAGGGTATGGTATCTTCGAACTTCTGAACACACGATGAGACAAAACTAGAGATATGTATAGTATTCATTTCATTATGAACATCAAGGTGAAGTAGAGAGTGAACGAACTTAGGGCTGAAGATACGCTTCGACTATAAGAAGATATTATTTTGGATATTGAGAAATCTCTGTGGACCTTGTAAATTCCCAGTTTGGACAAGCTTTTATAATTTTGTTAATGTTTCATTGTAATTCACTGTTTATGTGTTAGTTGGTTAAATGGCACATACAAATAAGGACACTCTCCTAGTTTGTCTTCTTTGACAGCTAAAGGTGGTTTATGCATAGCCTATTGATTGATTATCCTGAACATTGATCGATAAACAATAAAGTGATGGGCCATGGAGTAACTTATTAACGAGATAATACTAGAAAACCGACTAGAACTTACATGTTTAAGCGAGCTTTTAGATAATGAAGGTCGAATGTTATTGGTCTACCTTTACATTCAGAACATGTGGGAGGGGTAAAATTTGATAAAGCGTTTATTTCCCGGATCGTTCTTTAAAAGAAGAGTCCCGAAATATTCCACTATATAGGCCTATGCATGAAGTAAAATTTTCAAGTCTGTACAGAAAAGCAGCTTTGTAACCGACACTGGCACACTTTCGTTATTAGATAAAGTTGCAAATGAATCAATGACTGGACTTGCCAGCAAGTAAAACACAAAACACGCCAGGGAGAAGGTCGTGAAAACGTGTCTATCCATTTTGTCTAAATTAGCAATGTAAACAAGTGCAGGGATACCTAAAACAGTTGTTTTCTGAGTCATATGTATTGGACGTAGCAGAAAGGTCAATGGAACGTTCGTACAAACGCCTTAATCAGATTTTAAGAAAGCAAGCGTGGCCTGTGAAGTAGTTGACGAATTAGTCTTTGTCCGAATCTAATCTCTTCCGATTGGTCAGAAATGTTGCCTTAAAGAGAAGGTTTAGTTTTGATAGGCGAAAGTAAACTTGATTTGTAAGCTGTAACTTTCTTTTTGTTCCTTTGTGTTGCTTTAACAATGAACACATCTGTCAGATGTGACTGGAAATTGTTCAAAACGTTTTTTCACCAAATTTCTCATGTGTGCGCAGTCCCACTTAAAATTGATAATGGCCAAAGGCAGGTCAAGGCCAATAGTTCTTCACAATGTCATAAAACGATTGAATATAGGCCTTAAGTTGGTCGTTGTAAGTACTTTGACTGCCCAACTTGCGTCAATTGAAGCAGATTAGTAATAAAATTATATATTTTGTTCTAGATGAGTATTAATATCGTCTCTCATGAATGTCATTTTTCCAACAATTACAGGATGAAAGGAATCAAGTACTCACATCAAAAGTTTGGGTGAAGCAGGTAAGCATATACTATAAACAATTCATGTGTTTCCCCAGCCTTTTGGTTTCTTCAATAATTTCTTTAAAGTTTACACACCCCTCTCTCTCTCTCTCTCTCTCTCTCCCGTTGGTGCCTACTTCAATGAGCAACCCGTCCTGTCTTTCCTCTTGCCTTAACAAGCAGTATCTGTTCAAGAATATATATCTTAGATATGATAAATCTTTGTTAAAAACAAAAATTATGAAGAATCTGAATTTCAAAAAGATACAAAAAATATAATTACCAAAATTGATTTTGATATTTCATGAAAATATCATGCTTTGAAATCATGTGTTGAGGAACCATACGACTTAGATCACCAAATCATTCTCAATACTTTGAAGAATTTTTAACCTACCTTATCTGATTATTATAAGGGGAAACGCAAATTCATAAATCAAATCATGCGTGTTATGAGATTTCCATTCTAATGCACTTGGACTAATGTAATATGTATTTTACAAATGCAGTTATGCTTGCATATTTCAATTTGTGGAGATGGCACTATTTCGCGTGTTAAATGACATAAGCTAGTATCATGATTCAAATAGCATACTGGTACAAGTTCTAGTCTGTATAGCGTACCACAAAAGTGATAATCAGAATGGCAAATGCACTTGGATGGGACAGCGTGCTGTAGGAGAACCAGAACTGGGCCTTATTTCTGTTTTTACTTTTCTCTGTTTATTCTTTCCCCCTTCTTCATCTTGGGGGGGGGGGGGGGGGTCGGGGATGATTGCCTCCCGTTCCCCCTGTTACTACGCTACTGGCAGCTCCTCCCCCTCCCCTAACGATGGATACGCCACTGTACCTGCCTCCTACTCTCTTAAAGGGATTGGGAAATTTTGCCTCAGATTCTAAAAAAAAATCCTGGATTTAGCTCATGCTGCAATCATAATTATAAACTTGTAGGTCATACATGCAATCGACTGTCTGGTTATCAAGATATCTATGAATGAAATTAGTAATTTAAGAATTCGTTTTCCTAACGGTTTTTATAACACTGCAGTCTATTTGGAAAATGAGTGTGGTAAAACCGGTCAGTCAAAGATTTTTACTTTCTTGAGGTACTTCATGATAATTTTGAAACGCAATTTGTTTAGGGATTCAATATTTCACCATATCACAGACATTGATAACACACAGGGCCATGCATTTCAGATCTAACATTGTTAAACGATGCCTTTAGTGCAAGGGGAAAAACAATCCACTTCTAAATCCATGGCGGGATCAACTGCAAATTAGTTGTTAAATAGTCCTTGAGACAGAGGATTCAACTTTGCTTAACTTGGGCTTTCACTCCTATGAAGTTATGCATTTATCAATAAGGCGGACCGTAATGCTACAAACCATTATGTACATTCGGTAGAAGAAAAACAAAACATGAACAGCGAATCCGAGAGAAGCCAGACGGTAATGCTACAAGTCATGAATATTCATTAGGTAAAATAACATGAATACCAAATGCGACATTGTTTTCTGCATTGTGGACCTCTACCTTGTTTTTTCGCTTGATTGGAATGTGTAAATCAGGTAACCGCGTCGGATCGGTAAACATCCCTGGCAGATCGGCATTGCTGATGACTTGTGTTTAATCATCCGCTTTGCCCGACACAGGATCGCGTGTCGAATCCGATACTATTGAATGTTTCTCTAATGCCTTCCGCGCATGTGACATTTAGAAATCGCTTATTGTTGTCTGTCAGCAGAAGACTTAATATGTCTTAAAGGAATACATAGCGAATACAAAGAGAAGTGGGTATGTAATTATGTCTGGCAACACAAAACATTATTAGTACGTAGAAGTAATTTCAACGTTTAAACGTTACCGGGATATGCTGAATACGTGAGGAGAATTTTATGTCCGTTTTGATCATATTCTGATACAAATTATTTGACCCTATTCTTGTTTTTTTTAAACAAGAAACAAATATAAATATTGTTTCACTTTTTATGTTTTATTATCTTAGCTATTTGGCACACCAAACAAAACGGGTGATATAAATGCGGTGATACGTTCAAGGCTTGGAGCAAAATGAAATGCCAATACATTTGGAAACCTTTCCACCTTTCTTGTCTCAACTGAGGACTTGGCATAAGCTTTATTGCCGTTTTACTATGTGGGTTCACTCTTTGCAGTCATAATCTATATCATTGATTAAGATAATTTACTATTTTATGAAGAGTTTGTTTAGAATATAACCTTTCATTATGCACAATTCATGTTTACGCTGCTCGCGCCGGCAACTGCAAATCGATTATAAGTAGTCGTCGCAGGGGGCTAATGTTAACTCCTGGGTACCGAGCGGCAAATATAAATTGTAGAAAGTTGTAAAGGATATAAGGCTGTACAAAAATGGTAAATGGAGTATCGAGCTGTATCTTTAGGGACCTTACATTTCTGTATAAATTGTTTTAAGGGGGGATCATCCCTATACAATTTCAGGTAAGCATCAAGGAAAATCTGTTTGCAAAACACCTGAGTCTTCTTCTCCGCATCTTTTGATTCCGATCTTTAATCTTGTAATGTACACCCTGCATGGCAGTATGGGCACACATCATGCACGCGTGCCATTGTAATGCAGTTATGCGGAACATTTATTGGCCAACCGTAATATTGATATCGAACACCACGCCAGCAATATGCCCTCGAAATATATCAAGCTTCAAACCCGGGACTTTGGTCTTCTTATTTTCATCACGTCCCTTCAAATGAGATACATGTTTTACATTTAATACCTGAAATAACACGAGAGTAAGACCAGCAGACGTTCTCTAAATACCCTCGTGTCCCATTGCCTCGTTTTATTTCCACTTGGCTTTCCCACTTTTGCAAAAAGGAATATTTTCTTCCCTCTGTCCTATACGATTGATTGACAATTTGTCTTTGATCAGTCCATAAGAGAACACTAGCTCATTACACATTACTTCTCATATTCTGAAAGTCGAGTTATGTCTTTGATGTATACACATGTCTGCAAAAAAGGTATAAATTTATTGTTTTTGCTCGCTCGCTTCTATCGCTCACAAAACCACCACATATCCATAAGACGCTATTGCAGCAATCATCCCTACCAGCTCTCATGAGTTTCTTCTTTCGTTCATTAATATGTGCCTTTTGGTAAACCCTATGTAAAAACATGTATCGAAGCTCCTGATTGTTATACGGACTTGTTCAGGAAGTTCAACAAATGGGGATATTATTAATTTAATTCGCAACTTCTTTAAACTTGTATGACAATAGTTCCTATTTTTTAATTTTTGGCATGCATTCATTTTTGGGCGAGGACATGTCGCCGAAATAGAACAGAAAAACGAAACCTTGTCACATTGAGAGCCATGCCAACACAAGAATGAAACCCAGCTGATTAAGCCAACAGTGATACTGTCACGTCGGTAGTAGCTGGAATAGGGAGAGATGATGGCACGGCATTCTGACTATCCAGTGCCTCGGGGCTCACCCGCCACACAACACCATACCAGTGAAGTCATGGCTGGCCATCCAACCCCACCTCTCGTCTGTCGTGGATTGCTACTTAGTCCCCTATCAATGAAAATAATCACTCTAATAAAATATAAAATAGGTGACTCTAAGCGTAGTAGGTCCATGCTCTAACCCCTATAACATTCGAAAAGAAAGACCATGCGCGCACAAATACTCATATCCACCCTCACCACCCACACGAAAAGTAAATCCAATGTCACGTGTTTCGAGACCATGTAGAAAGCAAAAATGAAATAATGTAGGTTCAAAGTAAAGTTAGTGAAAAGCTTCTTTGGTCAAACATGATTTTGGATTTTTGTGCTTAAATCATCAACCGTTTCAAAAGACTTCTGGGTTTGCTGTAAGCCCTCACAGTGAACAAAAGAAATTATCATCGAAGTGGAGATAGTGCACACCCATTTGTGCGTTTATTAAATCTGACGACCGATGTCAGAGAGAAAAAAAATTAGCATTACGTATAATATACAAACCAATATTACTATCATCATTATTACATACTGCAATTATCAGTGGCCATTTTTCAAAATATCTAAACGCAACCGATTTTATGTGTTTTAATAACTATTAAAAATGTGCTAAATGTGCAGAAATCAAACCATGTTTGTTTAATTGGTTCAAACAACGAATATCATGTTCATCCATACACTCACTTTTAATTTTCTATCAATGTGCCCAGCAATGGAGAGACTATCGTCTCCAATGGGAACCGGAAGAGTACGGAGGAATTACGAAGATTAAAGTGCCAAACGAATGCCTGTGGATACCCGACATTCTACTTTATAACAAGTAAGTGTCCAGTCATCATATCTTCGCGGTGTAAACAGCCAGAGAGGCGGCCTTTTTTAAGGACAATAAATGTCCTCCGTTAACAAGACTAGTTCCTCATCAGTGAACTCACCTGACCTTTAAGCCACGCTACTCACTCCGTCGCTGCATAAAGAAACTCTGCAGAGACATAACATATTTGACTTATTTTAAAAAGAAATATGGCTATAAAGAAATCCATTTGCCTTGTTAAGAGAAAATTTGCGATGTTATCTGCGATAACTGTACGTTTTCCTCAGTATCCAAGTTTGCATGCCTTGTGGAACTTTTTTAAAGCATGATGAAAATGATTTGGAACAAGTCATTTTCATACAGCGTGGGCAGACGGCATCGTGACTAAGAGGTCAGATTCTTTCATTGAGGCCAACTTATCTCGTTAAGAAGGGACATCCTTTTTCATCCAACTGTTTGAACCATTAAATCTAAACACCTACGGAAAGATTGTCATCTATAAAGAAAGTCGTAAGAACCCGCTAGCCTAGCAGAACCTCCCAAGTGCCGATTTGTGTTAGGAGTTGCTAAAAGTATTGACACCTACATGCTAATATTTTCCTTTTCCTCTCCCTTCCTCTCTTTTTCTCCACAGTGCCGATGGCGCCTTTGACATTCAATCTGCTTCATGGGCTGGCATAGACTACACGGGCCTAGTCACGTGGTGGCCACCAGCGGTATACAAAAGCTCATGTCAGATCAATGTGGCCTACTACCCGTTCGACGAACAGCACTGCTTGCTCAAGTTCGGTTCCTGGACCTACGACGGAGTAGTCATGGACTTGAGGCCAATTTCGCAAAATGCAGAAATACGGGACTACTGGGACAACGGCGAATGGCAGATAATCGAAACACCCGGCGAGCGACACGAAGTGACTTATCCATGCTGCGCAGAAACATACGTCGATATCACCTACACAATTACGTTACGGAGGAAACCGTTGTATTATTTCGCTTACATTTTGGTTCCGTGTGGTCTCATCTCATTCAACACTGTTCTTGTATTTTATCTACCGCCCGACATCAGCGAAAAGATGGCGTTGTGTATGTCGGTGCTACTGTCCATGACCGTCTTCCTGCTGCTCATCACGGCCCAGATCCCGGCCAATGCGAACCATTTCCCGCTCATCGTTAAGTATCTTCTTTTCACCATGCTCATCGTATCTTCCTCGATTATTCTCACCGTATTCGTGCTGAACGTTCGCTTTAGGTCCCCTGAAACGCACACAATGCCTCGGTGGGTGCGTCGGTTATTTATCGATATAATACCAGGATTTCTCGGCATGAGCCGACCCGTAGAGTACAGTAAACGATTTCGCCATGTTGGAATCAATTTAACAAGAGACGCTATGGCCAACGGCGCTCTGGACTCGAGTAGACTGGTCATGGAAAGCAAAGGAAATAGTTATTCTGTGAGAATGCGACGGGAGGTGGATGTTCAGATGGACCATGATGACTCTGAAGAGGAAGTACCTGGTAAATTCACGAGGATCTCCGACATTTCTGTGGCTGCCCGCAGGGAGGTCGTGATAGCTGCGTAGTAGGGACTTTTAGAATAGGGACTTTTAGATTTGCGTGGACTGATACCTTCGACGTCCATTCAAGGCAGTGCATTAAAGACGTCGATCGTAGCAATCCACATTGTCTTCGTGCAAATCTCAAAGTCCCTATTTACACGACGAGAACGTGGACCGCCACATGTGACATCCTTTTAAGGTTATGTTACGTCCTTTTAAGGCACTGCCGGGCACGGCCCAGTGCCTTAATACAATGTCACACGCGGCAGTCCACGCTCTCGTCGTGTAAATCTAAAAGTCCCTAGTATTAAAGGCAGTAATGACCTTCTTGCGTGCAACCAAATTTATGTCGTTAAGAATGTTGCGTCAGGATTAAGGTGGAAATTGAGTTTTACATTGAGGTTTGGGGTTAGGTTTCTGGTTAGGATTGGGTATAGTCAAGGGATGAAGTTGAGATTTTGGTTAGTGTAGGACATTGGATAATTGTCATCGGAGCATGTCGCCCTGCATAATAAATCACAATCATTACACAATGATGCCTTACCCTTCCAACACGTGTATACGGTTTCGACCGATAGCTTCGAATTCGTCGGTGATTGTTGATCATTGTGATCTTCGTAGAGTTCATCCAGTTACAGCCATGTACGACAAACCTTGATTTGAACGCCATTTTGTTTCCGTAATTACACAATATTTCTACTCAAATGCGACGAGCACCCATAGGTTCACAGTATAAAGAAATAAAACGCTATTTTGTTTCCAAAAATACGTAACCCCAGGGAGTTCCTACATAAAAAAAATGATTCAAAAAACGGATTCGGGCACATTTTTTCGAAATCTAAAGAACTAGTAATTCAAATGTTGAAATTATAATTTGAAGAAGTCTTCGATGGATAAAAAGGGGGATTCCTTGTTCTGACCTAATTTATCCAAGTTGTATATCGTCTCTTTATCTCCCCCCCCTCTCTCTCTCTCTCACACACACACACACATCTATGTCCTTTTCACCTTAATACTTGAAGGTACGAGTAACTACAGACGTGGTCAGTATCTACCTCTGATGACGTCCGCTGAAAAGGAGGAGAATGAAGCCATGGTCATCCACAAAGCCGTCGAGGAAATCATGTATCTTACATGGAAATGTGCGAGCGACGAGGATAGCAACAGGGTACGCTGATTCACTTTCTAATGTCTTTCTTGTGACTCGTGGCGTAGTAACAGATGGCACGCCCCCCCCCCCCCCCGGGTACCCAGGTTTGGTATTTAACGGGGGTGTGCCACTGAAGCCTCGAAACCCCTACCCATTTTGAAGGGTCATTTTTGTCGGATTTGTTTCGAAGTAAAGCCAAGTTTTCAAAAATGTTTGGGTGTTTGCATGGCAATAAACCCTGAACATTTCGAACATTTTGAACATTTTAAAAAAGAAGACCCATATTAAGGGGTAATTTTGTTAAAAATGGACCCATGTTTAGGGTTTTTTGTGAAAATGTTACCCATTAGAGCGGCACACCCCCATATGTCTTAATATGTGAGTAACAACGGGGCACGGGACATGTGTCCCTAATGTAATTTGTTTTAAAGAGAGAATAAAAGAACTGAATAGTGGAGGGAACCGTCATTAGAAGGTGATGGGATCACATCCCACGACCCCGCTTTCTTGCTTCCCATTATGAACCGAATGGTTCCCTACCCATTTTTCATAGCGATAGCCTTTCGTTACAAAAAATATATTCTCAAAATCTTGGAAAGGGGTCTAATTTATTTTATTATATGAGCCTCTTCATGTTACCTTTCGTGGATGAAAACAAATCCAGAACTGCTCTTAAATTTAATGACTGCGCAGGCTTTAGGTGTGTCTTTTTATTTTTGCATTGTCGAAATGACATCGCTGCCTTTTCTTGTGAACATGATACCATATTTGCTGAGAATTCGATGAGATTGTTTGCACTTACTTTTATATCACGCGATATAACATAGGGCATTAGAAGAATGTAAAAGTAAATTTTAGTTTAATTTGGAACTAAGCCCTAGGTTGTCAAACATATCCTACCCTTCAGAATATGAATGATGATAACTACCACACATTTAGTTTGGCCTTCCTGGAAAAGCACCATCGTGATCATGGAAACCAATTCGAAACTTTGCTTGACGTTACAATGTCCTTTTAAACGATGTCATTCAAACACCACCGATTACATTTGACACTCATTTACATCATTACAATTATTGCCACTAAAACGTGTTTGTTCTTTTTTGATTGTTTCTGTTATTACTCATGTAGGAAAAGGAAGACTGGAAATTTGTTGCCATGGTGATTGACCGTATCTTCCTCATCATCTACATTTGTGGTATCTGCGTCGGCAATATCGTCATCATCTTCCAGGCTCCATTGGCCACGGTATTCTTCCGCGAACTTTTCTGTTGCTACGAGGACTGGGCCATGAACGGACTGCCTTTGAACTACACCAGACCCACCGTGATTGAGTAGAGATAACTCCCTTCCACGTCGTAGGTCAACGCATTTATATATATATATATATATATATATTTATATATATATGGCTCGGTGCGCACGAAGCGTTATTTCATTTGCGTCATTCAAGGACATTCATACAGATAAATGCATAGAGCAGGTCTAGGCCAAATTTTAAACCACAGATGGAACCCCCTAAAGCAGCGTGCGATCGCCAAGAGCTAGGTTTCGACATTGTCCGAAATCGACTTTCATCAGAAAACTGGCGGCGCAATCACAAATAAGTATGTACAGAACAGTTTGTGTGACGACTTCGGACGCAGCCGTCATTATCTGTAGGGGCTCATACTGTATATTGTTTGGTGCTGTCTGTGGCAAGAATTGTATTGAACTGTACAATCAGTTAGCGTAACTGACGGTAGTGGAATAACATCTCGTGTGCATCGAGCTTAACGTGTTCTTTTGACAATAACAACAAGGAAACGTATTGTTACGTAATTTACGTGTCCAGTCAAACTAGTCTTTGGAGGTCATTGCCATACGCTTTTTCAAATAGGCAAGATGGGATCAAGAAGAGTCAAGCTCAACGTCATGTCCCAGAGGCCAACTAGCAATCTGATCCTCGAGACCAATGACTATAGACTTATTCTTCATGGGAAATCAGATCGAATCAGTCGATCTGCAGCGTGGGTGGCCAAGACTTCAGCCCGCGTTTGGGATAACGAAACTTTTACGGATCACGTATTCTTCCTCAAGACCGGTCACTAACGTACTCCTGCCTAAAAACACTTTGCTCAACACTGGATTAATCTGACGTAGATTTTGTAGACAATGACAACGTAAATTTCTTTATGAATACATTGGTATGAGTATATTAGCACGTTAAATGTAGATTTTTTAAAATAAAACCTCTAGGGTCAGGGTCAAGGTTAGAGAAAGGTCTGGCCCGACGGCCAGGGACATGGTCAATTAATTGCATGTACTCAAACCATGGACTTACTAGTAAGTCCATGCTCGAACCAAGGCAATATCAATAGCGTACGTCTAGCGTCACCTATTGAAATGTGGGAACGTGGCAGTGACATATGTCACGTAACTTGATTTCTTTAGCCAATAAAGAAAGGTATTGGAATCGCCCTTTATATATTTTCTTGAGAGTCTTTGTTTAAGTACTCCTTCGATCGTTACTGTTTCCGTTTCTCGTTACTTTAACCTGGCGTCTTTCAGAAGCCATATAGTTTTCTGACAAACATCAATGGTAGAAATTAGCCTTCTTTGTGTGCATTTACGAATGATGATACCTTATTATACAAACAAGTGTGCTTTCTTTAGCTAGCCTGTTGTTTTTATATATCCAATAAAATAGTCATAAAACGATTCATCAAAATTAAGGTTGATAAAATTGAGTATATAATGATCATGAGAATACATTGTGAATAATAGTGGGTACATTTGGGAACTGTTGATTGCGTATTACAGAGAGATGGATACATAATTAGAGGTTACGGATTCATGAAAATGACAAGAAATTGGCTCAGGCCTGCTGAAAGTGATATGCACTGCACACAAAAATGGGTATATGGGACTACACACACATGTGGCATTGATGATCGGTCCAAGAATTTAGCTATTTCCCGTCATACTTAGAATATCGGGGCACTTGAAGAGCGATCCTTTTCACAGGATATTTTACAATAGATTCTCTTCAAAACCGCTTAAAAAGAGGAATGAGAAAGCTCTTAAATAATTTTCACCTTTACCAGAACTTAACCTTACATTTTTTAAGCGATTTATTTCTTGGCAATGTGATAGTCTTTACAATTTACGGAAATATCAACAAGTGAAAAATTAAAAAACGCAATTTTGGCATCATATCATTTGCCACGAATATTCCCAAGCGATTATTCAATACTTTATTGTTCAATGCCAAGATAAAGACAAATATAAATCAATTTAACCTTAATGTTTGGAGAGCGTCGAGTACTACGCTATCAATGTTTTTCTTATCTTGATGCCTTTTATGTATATTTAAAATTGCATTATTTTTAAATTTTATTTCGATAGGATATCAAAATAAATATTTTTCATGACTTTTTATAAAATTGATCAGTATTAAATTGAAAACTGAATACTATCAAGGCCGTAGCAAATGACAGCAAAAGGAGTTGTAATTATTGCGATAAAGCCACCGTGGAATTGTCGAACTTTCCTGAGGTTATGAAATTTTACATTTAACAAGGACTTTTTTTGAAGTACGGTATTGTCTCAAAAGGACATAATTGAACTATAATTCATTAACATTGACAAAGCTTACCTTGTATTGTACATATTTCTTTACTCACCGACCGCTCGTAAGATACCATGTTGCCCATTTTGCCCTTAACGTTGGAATACTTTTTTTTCTTCATTTCATGAACCAATTGATTTATTGTCGACAAACTTTAGATCTTCTCAGAACTTTAATGATCAAAATTTATTGATCAATACAGTGCTGACAAGATATAAATTTCAACAATCAAGAGTAGATCATATTGTCGTAATTAGTTCATGAAAAGAGGTTAAAAGTGTAATCGAACTTTGTGTGTATCAGCCTACTATATGCCGCCTTCTCGGGCCTCTGCTAACATTGACTTATCGAACTTCAGGTTTCAATGAGCTCCTGTCTCTTGTAATGCAAGTGATACCGTATTTCTTGCAAAGTCACCAAACTGTGTTAGGCTACAAATGTTTGGTTCATTTTCAGAAAGGCCAATTATGTCTTTTGAAAATGCTAACGAATATTGTGCTCCATCCATCCTCTCTTATAAATCGCATTAATTAAAAGCGTATTGATGAAATGTTACACTGCCCTCCTTCAGACTATAACTTAGATTTAGGAAGAGGAAGTTGCAAATAGGCATCAAGTTGTTGTATGATATATCATGTAGTTATCTTATATTCTGTTATCATGACAGACAAGGTTTATACCTTCAGACTTCAATCCACTTAATAGAATTGAATGAGATCAACACCTGAAAATATTTCCCTACAGTGTGTTTTATGTCAGCAAAAAATAATATTTTGCAGGTTTTCTACTTATTACTTGGTTAAATTATATTACTATTGCAAATCTTCATATTTGTGTCTTTGCAATAAAACATGATTATTCCTTTTTATCTAACTATCGTTTACCACGATGTTGTCTTTTGAAGTATTGTATTATGCTTTATATTTATTTCCTTTTATAATTAATAACTTAATATTAAAGAATCTGCTAGTCGGTAGACATTATTTGTATATATTTCAACTTTTATAAGAACCCTCTGTATTTGATTTTGTTTCTTTGCAGTGGCAATCTGGTAATATATAGGTAAATATACGAATCATGAATTAGCGGTCAAATAGGAGTGGCAGATGAAAGAAAGTGCTAGAAATGTACTAAAAACCAAAGAAAAAGACATTCGGAAATTCAGAAGAAAAAGAGAGAGAGAGAGGGAGCAAGAGAGGGAGAGAGAGAGGGAGAGAGGGAGGGAGAGAGAGAGAGAGAGAAGAGAGAGAGAGAGAGATTAAAAAAAAAGAGAGACAGAGGGAGACAGAGATCTACATAAAGCTACAGAGAGAGGGTAAAATAAATTAATATGGTTTGGGGGTCTTTTGGGGAGGAAGGGATAGGAAAGGGAGATAGTAAGTATCTAAGGTATTACTCTACTCGAACTAATGTGTGCGTGGATGGAGTAAAACATTTCGCATGGAAAATAAATGAAAGGGAGAGACTTAACCAGATATGGTGTTCGAATTAAAGAACTGACCTGAAAAATCCCATTATTTTGTTCACACCTCTATACAGCATTAAGCCTTCGCTGCAAGCGGATAACGATATAACTAAACTAAATACAACAACATCAAGTCTCATAAATACATTTCTTGCAATTAGTTATTTTCGTGACATGCACCAGCCTAAAGTTGGCGCTATACTCTCAAGCTATTGAGTAACGTTGCTTCTAATCTCGGATATAAAAATCCAGTATTGAATGAAATATATTTATACCCCTACCGGGATATTTTGGCAAATTTTCGTACTGTTAATTAATTTGTAATCAAAACAGTTATAGTAAAGGAACAAAAAGATAGATACGACTTTTACTTAGTTTTGTAGCCTGTAAAACTTTGGACAACATATGCAAACAGAAAAGGAACGTCAACGACTATTTCCAAACCCTTAGTACCTCAGTCACACCGACTCTGTACCGACTACAAACCTACCGATAAAGCAGGGCTCCCGCTTAGCCGAGTTGGAGCCTCGAGTTGTGGCGAGCTGCCGCGATCTTATGGCAAGCAGTTTTATCTTTAGAACGTATGTCTTGATATCAAGAACTCAATTCTTGATATCACGAAATCGAATTCCTGATATCACTAAATCGAATTCTTGATATCAAGAATTACCATTGCTTTACTACATAAAATTATTTCTTGATAACAAGAATTTATATTGATATCAATTAATAATAAAACGGCTTGCCATAAGATCGCGCCAGCTCGCCACAATTCGAGGTTCCAACTCGGCTAAATGGGAGCCTTGCTTAAATATATTATTTTTTCCATCGGGTGTCGGACACGTTCGTGTGAATAGGTTATCAACTACGTGAAACAAACACAATGACACGTCATCAAATAAAGAGCCATTTATTCACAAAGTTTGGGCAACATGGCTTCACTTGGTCATAACATGAGGTATATTCTATTGTATTGTGCTTGCCCAACAAAACAGTATTCGCCATATTGTGCCCAACTCGAACCGGGTTGATAAAATTCTCTTAATCAATGGCTGTGTTTAAATGGAGTAATTTGCGCCAGCTAGCGACGTAGACCGTTCAGTCGTTAACCTCAAGTTTGATGCCAGTATTGGAGGTGCAACTGACTTAAACTTGATCGATGTTGCCGATCGTTGAATATATACTGATGGGTCATTAACCAAATAGAATGATCGATTGGTATTGACATGTTGATTACATATACGGCCATGACGACGTCATACACACAATTAAATAGATATCGAAGATTTATAAATGGCATTGGTATATTAGAACTGGGAAAACCCCTCCCCACAATTTTTTCCAACCCCGAATAAATCACTTTTTTTTCTCTCTGTCTGGGACGTATATTTTCTAGATTCTAGACCTAGATATTTTTCACTTTTTCGTTCTTTTCATTCATCCCTTCCTACCTTGCCTATATGTTGCTTTCGCATGTATTGCACATACGAATTATGCATATGCCACCTCCATCTCTCTACCTATATTATGTTTGTCAGACTGTTTGTCTGGTTGGCTGACCGTCTTCTTCTTCTTTAGTTGCAGTACACGCCAGCGTCAGGTGTGTATTGTAGTCTCGTTTATCAGTCTTTTTTGCAGCCTCACTCTCAAATATGCTCTCGATTACTGTCTATATCTGTCATTTTTGTTCCAATATTTCTTCCTATACATCTATCAAACGACAATTGGCTACACCCTCTCCGTAAGGGCTTCTCTAGCCCAGAAGTAGGGGTGGATTGAAAACCCTTTCAAGAATAAACAAATTGAAAACAACAGTTGGAACGATTTTTTGTGTGGAACATCTGCGATATTTGTCTGTACATTTAATTATGCATGATACAAGTTCGCCATTTGTCTGTAACCATATGGAATAAAGACTATTTATGATTATAATGACAACTACCAATAATTATTAGTTCACTTTCCGTAGTAAAAATGTATCTCAGCGTTTACCAAAGTGATGAAACAAAATCCAAATCAAAGTTAACACAATTAAGCTCAAACTTTGCAAGACATAAATGGAGTTTTAAGTATTTTGGATAGAGATTTTTTCAAGAAATGTCTAAAGTTGCTAGGTGGAATTTTACTAGTTTAATGAAAAGCGGGATATTTTTCCAACCTTTGAATGGAATAATGGATTTACAATAAATGTGTGATCATCAACTATGATCTGGCTTTCGACAATTTTCTTTCGTCTTTACATGTCTTCGTCCCCCCCCCCCCCTTCGTCCCTACTGTCCCCACCTCTACCCCCACCTCTAACCCCTATCCATAAACCACCCTCCTCCAGCATAGAAGCTGGCGGTCGTACATGAAGTTCAACCTTCCTGAACCACACAGCAGGAGATCGAGAGACAAACACGCGTAATAATTAGGTCTCCCTGCATGGCGTATAATTGGCTTTGACTCCCGCCGAGAAAATAATGAGGCGATGGATATATGGTGTCAAGATGCTCATTATTAGGAACGTCGGAAGAAAGGAAAACGAAGGCAATGGTCCCAATAAATGTTCTATTGGACGCCTACGAATACATAAGTTAAGGCCGGGGTCATTCCGTCATGTCACTTTGACTTTGTACGGATTTAACGCGGTAATACTCGGCGGTTATTATTATAATGAAGTTAGCGTTATACGCTTCACAATTCTGTATCTCATAATACAGAGCTCAGTGACTACGCATAGGACGTTTGTGAGCGCAGTTGCCATTCATTTACAAACTAACGCGGTGGGTTTTTATCGCGGCAGTTAACCGCGGCATATCTGTGCAAGTCATTACCGCGGCATATTTGCACAAGCATTTAGAATGGAAGATTTTTTTTAGAATGAAATGGGGAATATTCAAATAATATAACCATAGCCTGCAACTCTGAAGTCATTCAGACATTAATGTTTGTCGGTTCAGCGATGATTCCCGAAGATTGATGCCCGTAACTAGGTCAATTATCCTTAGGTATTTGAACGCCTCCACATCGCAGCAATAATGATTCATAACAAAAAAAAGAAGAAGATAAAAGCATACCGAATGAACACGAATTCTATAAGTTTGTGTCAGAGCGTCCTTAGTGTTGCTAGAAATAAAGCTATTGGCTAAAATGAAATGAAGACCTAAAACGAAATAAAAGATAGTAAACATCTTCACTTCGTAATATGATAGCTATGTTACAAATATTAAACAGGGCAACCAATAAAAAAGATCATGTTATGTCACATAACATGCCTATCTTTTTCTTCCCTTTATTGTACTCGTTATGTTACATATTGAATGTGTAAAACTGTGTAAAATGTGAGGAAATTAGGAAGGAACTAATTGTTATGATACTTTGAACCAAAACGTTTCTTTAAACAAGTTAGTCATGGATTTGATAAGTCAACGATCATGTGGCATTGCCTTTATTTACATGTATGTATGTATGCGTGCGTGAGTGGGTATGGGTGTAGGTGAGTATATGTATGTGTGCGTGCGGGTGGAGTGTGTGTCGCATGATGGGGAGGGGGAGGGGTAGTAGTAGTAGTGTGTTTGGTTGGATGGGGTTATTTGTTTTATGATACAACTGATTTCATGTTTGTTTTCATCAATTGTACAATGTATGTAATGTAAATGTTTTGAATTATGTCAAGGAAAAAAAAAAGTACTTTATTTCTAAAAAATTAATTTGTATTGTTTGGAATCAATAAAAAAAAAAACTATTAAAAAAAAAGAAAAGAAAAAAAGTATGTGTCTATGTCTTGGTATGTGAGTGTGTATGTGTGTATATGTACATAATACATAACTATTATTCACGATTATTTGACCAAATTATCGATTTCACTTATTTCTATGTATTAATGTAGTACTGTACTAGTAACAAAGCAATATAAGAAAAAGAAATAAAACAAAGCACACATACAGAATGGCTATAAACGGCCCCAGTAAACTTTTTACCCCCCCCCCCCCCGAAATCAGCAGTTAGCGCTTACATGACAATATAATTCCACTATCAATGTTGCGTGGCTATGTTCTTGAAATATATAATCCCCTTCATCATGACATAGACACGCAGAGAGATGAGGACAGGAGGTGGATACACCGATCAGGCGACACAGCGATGTATGTTCGTATAAATGATTTCATAATGTTCCCTATGACAATATAATTAGTAAATAATCTACGATTGCAAAGAGAGCGGGAGATTGGGAGGAAGAATGGGAGAGAGAGAGAGAGAGAGAGAGAAGGGGAAGGGAGAGAAACCAACGTCGTCACTTAATTTTTAATGCGGATATGATTTCTAAAAAACTTTGAAACAGTTTTCTTGTTTTTTATTTTTTTTGTTATCCTATTCCCTGTAAAAAGGAGATTCAGGATTTAAAATTGACCCCCCCCCCAAAAAA